CAAAATGCAATGCAGGTCTCTGGTTTATTATTTTAGTTGTTGTTGTGCCTTTCACTTCGACAACAAGCGATTACAAATAATAACAAGAACTTTGCGCTAAACTTTTGCACTCTGACACCCGCACCCACGCCGACGACAACAGCAACAACAGCAATGGCATATGACGGTGGCAGTTGTAAATACTAATTTAATAACTACATTAATAACAACAGCCACTGCAACAGCAACAGCAACAGCAATCGAAATAGAAATAGCAACAGCAACAACAATAACAATCACAACACGCGCTCCAACAGCAACAAATCGCATTGGCAAATTTGCTGGCAAGCGGGAAACAAACTAAGGAACAGAAAAAAAAAACAACTACCGTTTGGTTCGTCGAATGAATGAATGTCATTAATTTGACAACAGAAACCGTTAAATCAGCAATTCAATCAACAGCAACAGTGCAGCTACAATAACAGCAACGCCAACAACAACAACAACAACAGCAACAGCAACAACGGCTTTTAAACTAGCAAAGCGGATTTCAATGCGCGACAAAAACAAAAACACAAAGCAAAAAGCGAAAAAAAATAAAAATAAAAATAAAAAAACAGCAAAGTTCTAAACGTGCCTGCCCCGCCAATGAGCAGCACCGCGTGAGTCTTAAATTACCAACCTTGCCACAATTTCAATACAAATTCGCGTTCGAATTTGTTCGTTGGTTGCCGTGCGGCGGTAATTGGCATAATGCCGCCTGCCACGTTTCCAAATGGCCAAAACGACGACGACTTTTGGCCACCGACGACTGCCTGCCTATACTGTCCTACCCGCTACTGTCTGCCTGAATCACCGCACCCACGACCATCAACCACCGGCGAACACCACCCGAGCCACGCACAGTGCCAGCTTTTGAGAATCAAAGTGGTAAACACATACTATATACTACTCCCAGGTATACTTCTATTTCGAATAGGGTACTAGAAATTAATTCGATTAATTATCGATTATTTGGAATTCGATTAGTATTAGATTGGAATAGCATGTCAGCTGAATTGAATGAAGATCGGCAGGAAGAACATAACAATTACATATTAACTAACATTTTTTTACATTTTCAAGGAATTACATTTTTAAAAAGATTTCTTTATGACTTCATGACTTATACTTGTAGTATTGGCCTAAAGACACAAATATAATTTTTTATGAAACAAAAACGAAAACATATTTAAAAAAAAACAGTAACTTCCTAAATTACCTTTTGTAGTTATAGTATATTTCTATAAGATGGATAGATAATATAGGCTACTGAATTGCCACATCTAAAAGGATCTTAGGGTAGTAAGCGTCTTAATAAATAAAACAAATATACATTTTCATCGTTATAGCTTGCGAATCTGAAAATATAGTACATTTTATACGAATAATTGCATACATCAAAGCCCATTTGTTTTACCTATAATACCGCTTAAAACATAAAGACAAGTAAAGACGATCAATTGATAAAATTGTATTTAATTACAGTTCAAATGTCGATCAAAGTTCAAAGATTTTTACTTAATTTATTTATGACTTTGAAAAATTCATAGCCATAAAGAAATAAATTATATTTAAAATATTGTTTCGCATTTAATATGCAATAAAAAAAAATCTATTTGAATTATTCCTTATAAACTAGCCATCGTTCCCTCATTATTATACTCACCACAATACTATTATACTCACCATAAAGAATGTAAGTCCCTGAACATTTAAATATTAAATATTATATTTAAGGAACTACTTCTCGAATTCGATGTCTTATTGAAATTACTTTTATAAACTTCCACCCATGAAATAGTCCATATTTAAAAGGTTAAAAAGGATTAACAAAGCTGGAAGCTCACTCGATTGTAAAAAGAAGTTAATTCAAAAGAATGCCGACTTTTCTTTAGAATTTCAGGGCCATTTGGAACATTATGTCATCGAATGTACCAAATAAAACTATTCATCATAAATCATAAACCATAAGAAAAGCAGACAACTTAAATGCTCATTATATGATCAAAGGGGAACGACTACTCTTAATATTAACCAACTACTGTTGTTAAAAAATAAATAAAATAAGCTCTTGAACTTAAATAGCTTCTGAATTAATACCAAGTGCATTCTTTTGTTCGTAAATATTGAAGTGCGAATGTAACACACAGCTGTTATTTTGGTATGGGTATTATCACATTTCTTACCACCCCACCATTTGAATTGTGCCACTGTGCAACGGCCGCTGCCTGCGTTCGCCTTTTGCCTTTCAACTTCTGTGGCTGCTGCGGCCTGCGGCTGCGGCTGCAGCTACAGGTGTCTACGTTCGCTCTCGTGTCAATGACAGTTCAATGTGCTCGGCAACAACATTGCCGATTTGTTGTTGCTACCTTTATTGTTTTTGTGTTGCTGTTGTTGTTGTTTTTGGTGATGGTGGTGGTGCTGCTGCTGCTGCTGTAAGCGGCAACAGTTGTCGCACATGCAAATCGTGACTGGCGACGAAAAATGCACGTCCACGTCGCTTGTCCATCAGCGGACTCCGCAAGTTGCCAAACAGTCCTCAGTCAGTTGGTCCGTCAGTCGGTCCTTCAGACAGTCATTCAGTTAGGCGGCAGTTAGTCAGTAAGCGCTCTGTAATTTTACGTAGATCTGTAATTCTTTTTTTTTTTTTTTTGGTTTTTGGTAGTTGCGCATGAAATGCGAGTGATTTGTTTAAGACATTTTGATTGATTATTTGTGCGCATGCGCGGCGACAAACCAAGCCGAAAACGCGCAACAGTTTTTCCAGCAATAAATGCAACAACAAGCTGAAAAGATTGACAAATATACTTACATGCCTGCGAATATGTATGAACATATGTATATATAGTACGGTTATAGTATGTCTTGTCTTGTATTGTACACCCGTGTGTTTCAACAAAGCTACAAAGCGGCCAAAAATACTTTTTGGCAAAGTCATGCCGCGCTCGCTTTTATTAATTATTCTGACCCAGAAATTGACGAGTGTGCGTGCGTGTGTATGTATGTATGTCTGTTGGTATATATATATATGTGTATGTGTGTGTTAAGTATCAGCATCGTCGCTCAGCTTGGCGCACGTTTGTTGTCAGTTAAAATTTACCACCTGTGATGAATAACGTTACATTTCGCCGATTGTTGTTGTTGTTGTTGCTGTTGCTTTGGTTGTGGTGATTTATATATGTACCCCGGGTCTGTCCCTGTGTCCGTGCCATGCCCACATCATCGCATTGATTACTCAGGTGGTTGGAGAGTCTGTGTACGACATACGAGTATGAATACTTGTATGTTATATGGGGGCCGTGTACCGTTAATTAATTTGCAAATTTCTGCGGCATTTGTTTGCCCGTTCAAGTTTCTTTTATACATATATTTTTTTTAATTTTAATTTTTCTTTGTTGGAGCAAAGTGCTCCGCGGGTGGTCGTGCGATGCTCACAAGTTATGCAAAGTAACCCTTATAAGTGGATAAATCACAATAAATGAATAGCTTTAATATTTGTCAGTTTAGAGGCAACTACTTAGTAGAAATCATACTTCTCTCCTGTTTTTTTTTTAGATGTGTGCAAGATTTAAAGGTTTGCCAACGGGCTCATTTATTGTTTGGTTGATGACACGAGCTGGCTAACAAAAGGGACAGCAATGATCAGGCGTGATTGGAATTATAATTACACCTAATTCTGTTTCTACACGATAGATTGGTTCCTAAAAAAGTCGTGTAAAAAAACCAAACATTGATCATATGCAAAATGAATCGTGCTGAATGGAATAAAGTCGCCTAACCATATATACAATTTTTATACACTGTACCCGTAGGGTAAAAAGGGTATATTAGGTTTGTGCAAAGTATGTAACATGCAGAAGGAAGCATCTCCGACCCCATAAAGTATATATATTCTGAATCAGCATGACGAGAGAAATCGATCTAGACATGTCCGTCCGTCTGTCCGTCCGTCTCAGAAACTATAAAAGCTAGAATAACCAAAGTTGGCATCCAGATTCTCCTAGGTCCGAGTAAGGACGAGTTTATTATTTTTTTTTAATTTTCCCCCCCTTCCCCCGCTACAGAATTTCGTCAATAGCGTCCACATTTCAAATGCTACCTAAACCAAACTTTGCAGACATAATTTATGTATAATTATTTACTGTTGTTTATTCAATTCTGTCAATTCAAGGAAAAGTTATTAGCAAAACAAATTCTCCCCAGTACAACCCCCCCCCCCCATACTGCAGCAACAACTTCGCTCTTCTTCTTCCTCTTTTTGCTGCTGCTATGGGCGCATATAACTCAGTGACGGAAGTTTACCTGGGTACAGGGTATTACACTGTCGGGCTTGCTCGACTGTAGCGTTCTCTCTTGTTAACATTCAAACTGTGTTAAATCAAAACCGTGTAAATAAAGTTCGTGTAGAAACAGAATTAGGTGTACCTCTATTGGTGTCTGTTCTTTTGAATGCTTTACATGAATTGTTAACTATCTGGTATACCCTTCCACCGATTGGATATAATGCAACATACTTCGTATTGTATTGTTTTCTTCTCATACCAAAGTAAATACAGCCACCGTGTATCTTTATTTATTCAGCCTTATCAACACATTTTTTAAGCTTTCATGCTGCACTTTCAGACTTCACCTTTACCATACATTTTAATATATCTATACACGTACTCCCCATCCAATTTTATGGTGCCATGTCACAGCTACCATGTCGTTGTTAGACCCTCCTATTCTAGTATTAAAATTTCAAAAAATTTCAAAACGTTTTGTGTTAATAATATTTAATTAAGTTTTTTACAATTCACATATTTTTCAATTTAATATCTTATTATATTTTCATACTTACTAAGGAAACTTATATTTTATTATTTTATTCCTTTTTATTTACATTATTTCTATTATGCAAACTTATTGGCCGAATAGTATTCAAGGCTTCCTTGTTATTATCTGTAATCTTCTGGATGCTGTAATTTGTAGTAATCTTATTCGTTTCAGGTTTTGTTTATTTATTGTCTGTATATTAAATTTTATTTTTAATAATTTCTATTTTTTTCAAAATATAACTCCATATTTCATGTTTGAAAATGCTCAGTTCTACATAAGTAAATATTTAGTTCGTCTATCTGCGGGTAATCTGTTGTTTTGAGGCATTTGTACCTTTCGACAGATTGCCCGACACAAGTGTTACCCTAGAAGTGGGCGGGGCCTTGGGAATCTGGTTCGAGGCTGTCGATAGAATCGACGGATTTGCCATTGATTGTGCCTGCGAATTGAATCGCGAATAGGATGGCGAGGCTGATCGACGGTCCTCGTCCATGCGCATGTGCGTTCCTTTCGGTGACTCTTGATTAGGAGCCGGAAGCAAAGCATCTGCGGCATTGGTCTGATCCAATGAATTGCTGAGCTGCAGAATCACTTCCGGGGTTCGTTGGATATGCGTCTGCTTGTTGGTACCACGTGGCGATCCTAGCAAGGGATTCCCATCGGAATTCATGCCGTATGTGCTGATGGTGCGACTTAAGGCCTCGGCCTGCTGATGTGCCTCCTCATCGGCTGTACGAACCAAGGTGCCAATTTCCTGACGCTGGTTGCTCTCCACGATCAGTCGACGATTCATGTTTTGGCGCATACTGCGGAATTCCTTCCAGAAGTTCTGGCTGATCTCGACCGTGTCGCGATTGATCTCTTTCTTGAGCATCATGAACTGGGCTGGATCGCGCGGCACATCGACGTTGGGGATTTTTTTGGCCATTGTTTAAATTTTGAATAGAACTTTGTGCTTGAGTTCGGGCAGGTACATGGCTGCCAAACCTGTGACGTACGAATATATGAGTGATTGTTTGAATGTGCCTGTGTGTGAGTCAACAGTCAAAGGCAATTTGATCGATGCGAGTTTTCTAATTGCTTGGCCTCCACATCGAACAAACGAACGAATGTAACTTTCTTCTTAATTGTTGCAAGAAAAATGAGGCCCGTATCGAAATGGCATGAAAAGCACACCAACAACAGCAACAACTATGTATTCACAACAACAGCCAGGCATAGCGCACGTCACTCTTCAGTGGGAGAAATTGTTTTCAATATAGAAATATGTAGAAAAAATGTGGCCAGCCTGTTTGACAGAATGACCGAAAAGTTGAAAGTGAGAAAAGTATTTTAATGCATTTTTATCCAACTCTACAAAAACTGCTATTAGCCTGCAATAGAAATGACCATTATTATTTATCGTTGAAGAAAAACGTTTAATGTGACTAAATATCTGCTGTATTTATGCAAATAGTAATTTTTTAAGAGAGATTTCATTGGAAAGATATTAAAACTGGATATTTAAGAAGAATTTGAATAAATAGATATATTTTTTTTAAATTATTAAGCAGATAATGCTTTTGCCCAACGTTTTAAAAAGATGCATTTAAACAGAATATAGACGGGATACAATAAAAGTCCTCCCGTTGACTCAACTAAATTGTCCAATTATGTGACGATTTGAAATCATTTAGATTCTAAACATATATTTGAATGTTGTATTCTTAGTTGAGCTCTCGACTTACTTCAAGTCGCAGTTCTTTTTGTTACTCAATGCAAAGTATTTCTAATCAATCAGTCAAGTCATTGAGAAGCAGATCTTTTCCATTGCCTCACATTTGGCCCAATTTGCCCTGCAAGCCGGCTCCGCTGATGCCATTGCTTAAACAATGAGCCGATTAAATCGCTGTGCCGCTTTTGTCACAAAATGAAAACGAAATAGTCTTTGCCTTTTGTTTTGGCTCCTTCGGGCGAATGCGAATGCGAATGCGACAGAGACCCAGAGGCGGACACCCTGCTGTGCACTTGTTCGAGCCAAAAGTTCAACGGCGGCAACCGGCACAGGGCCTCCAACTGTTTAATATGGCTACCAAGTCCAGCTCCCAGCTCCCAGCTCCAATTTATCCTTTTGCGTTTGTATAGTTTATTGTTCTACTTGTGGGCGCAGAATTCGCGAGAAGTGAAAACAAAAGATTGCCATCATTTGAAATATGTGCAACATTTTCAGTCAGTTGACGTTATGCAAAAATGTTGCAGAGACTACAACACATCTACTACTCGTATACGTATATTTTTGGGCCCTAATTGGTGAAAGTGTGTTTAGAAAGTGTGACAACCCTTGTAGCGCGGCCCCAACACTTAACGCATACATAAATGGCCCACTTTATCAGACAGAGTCGAAGTCTGCCGCTGACACAGCCAGCGCTGTCAAATCAATATCTACCTGTAGCTATATACATACATCACCCGCATATATAGGCATGGACAATACAACAGCAACAAGCTCCAAAAGCCGATACAAAAGCGAAAAATTCCCAGGCAGGCAAAGAAACTAGAACTAAAAATCATACATCACAAGCAATTACCGACTAAAATGCGGCAGAGTGCGCGCTGCGAGATCAAGACGATGACGCTAACTACACTGTGAAAAAATTGTACTTAGAAGTCATACTGATTGAATGCAAATATTATTTGAAAAGGATAGATAATAGAAATAATATATAAGTAGACAAATATATAGAGAAGTAGAGTTTCTAAAAAATCAGAAAAAACTAATGGACGATAAGTATGTTTAGAGAATTATGCAAGTTTGAGTAAAGGATTGAATGGGTCTGTTGCTGAAATATAATCCAGCTTATGACTAGCTTAGAGGTGTTACTTGCAAGAAAAAAAGGTTCACAAAATATCTAAATTCAAACTATATTTGAGACACTTTATGTGTTTTGAGCTTCAAAGATCTGTAAAATCAGAAATAGCTTTAAAATGTAATCCTCATATGTGTCCAATTTCTTCTGGCATGATAGCAAAAAGCAAAAACTAAGTTCAATGTACAGCTTTAATTTCTATATAAGTATAAACAATAATAATTAAATTAAAGCAAATTTGGTTGTTTTTCTGAACAGAACGAATTAAATTTAACTGAAATAGAAATATAAATGTTTTCAGTTCTTAAGTTGAAAATCCAAACAAACACTAAAGAAGATCTGCAATTCTGAATGTAAACAAATGTCTAAATTCATACTTTATTTTACATATTTTTCTCTCAGTGTAAATTGAATGTTGCGACTAACCTTGGCCGCTAGTAAAAAGACTGAAGAGCTATTATTATTGTAGTATTGCTGTAGTTGTTATTGTTGCTGTTGTTGTGTATGCCGCGCATGCATCATCATACCATCATCCCATTATCACATACCACAAGCTAAGGCAGTCAGCCAACGCTCCTTGGGCTGACCGACTGCCAGCCAGCCAGCCAGCCAGCGAACAAGTCAGCCGGTCTAGTCTGTCCCGCTCTGGTCCAATATGCGGTCTGGGTCTGTGCGCACTTGAAATGCTCGGCATGAAATAAATCGCGTGTTTATTGTGCCAACGGCGTCCAATGGCTGAGCGAAGTTGTTGCTGCTGCCTCTCCATGTTGCACATAAAAATTGAACGCAATAGAATGCCACTAATCGATCGTAGAATTGTGAGGCTGGCTGGTTGGTTGACTGGCTGGCTGGCTAGATGGCTAGCTGGCTAGCTGGCTGACTGGTGTGGCTGTTGATGGCCAGTGTGGACATGGATGTGAATGTTTAAGCTATAGCTATAGCTGAATCTGGAGTTGGAGCTTGAATGTGGACGTGCTTGGTGCAGCGCCGCCAGCCACAAAATGAAATGTTTCAAGTTCAAATGCAAGGTGGAGCGAAGGCAAGGTGCGCACTGAAGAACGAAGTGCGGGCGGGTGTGGGATCGAATCGGGAGGGGGCATGGCGACGGCATAGCGGGGAGTGTCAGTTGAGTCGAGCCGAGCCGAGTCGAGCCGGCGCGCAAGCAATCTCAAAATAATCTAAACGATTTTGCAAAAATCACGTCGTTCGATGGCAACATCATCCACCTGTTACGCTGAGCTCATTTTTAATGCTTGCAGCCAAAGCGGATATAATCAACAACGAAAATACAAAAAAAAAATATATATATATATAAATTGAGGGCGCGCTAAAAAAAAACAGGCAAAGGAGTGGTGCCACAAGGAGGGGGTACTGTGTCGGCGGCATTGAGCAAATTGCAAAAGTAAAATTCAACGAATGCCAGCGTACAGTTTGGCATAATAATGAAGCGCAATCAACTGCGTTTAATGGCCCCAAGGGCACATGCGGGTGCCCCGGGTTGTGAGTGGATCATTCTTATTGGCATTGCACAGATTAAACATCAAGCATTTTTCAACACACAACTCCATAAGGAAGAATTCTCCATGCGAGTCTCTTCTGCGACCGAAGCCTTCATACCCTTTCTGTACACAAATACACTAAATTGGCTTAAGATGATGTTCTCATAAGAAAAAGTTGAATAAACAACCAGGCTATACAGTTGGATTTGTGGAAATCGTCTTGTATAAATATTGGTTGCTCTGTCCCAACTATAATAAGTAATTTTGATTCCCGTCCGTGAGAAAACAAACCCATAAACTTTGGCTGCTTCGGAAATAGATAGAACGGTTTACAAAGTTTTGTGAATATACATAGCTTGCAAACCTTTCGAGATATAGTCAAACGGATCATACAAATGAGTGAAAAGTTATTTTAATTGCGCGATTTATTTTTATATAAGCCTCTTAACAGCAGTAGTATTTTAGGTCTGTATGTAGATAAAGAAAAGCCATAATGTTTAGTTGCTGCTATAGGTCGCCAGCTTTCCGAACTCTACAGTTTATTTACTTCTTTATCGAGCTGGAAGAACCGGCAGCTGAAAAAGGAGAATGTGACACGTGTAGTTCGATTAGTTTCATAATGCGGAATAATCAGGAATATACTCGAATTTGCGAACTTTGTAGGCTCTGCCACGCCTATGTCTGCATGTGTTACACACGCTTTAGCGATATCATAATACCCCGCATACGCTTTGGATGCAGGTTATAAATATGTATGTATAATTTCTCGCTGCGAGCGTCTCGTTATTTGCTGGTGTTATTCTAAACGGCTTTTAGACAAAGCCACACACTCGCACTCACTCGACTCACTCACGCTGCCAATCAATCAATCACGCGCAGAACGCACACACAGACACACACACACATGCACACTTACCGGGATTGAGAGTGAGAGAAAGAGCGCCCAGTCATCTGAGCATCTGCCGCCATCAACGGCCGGCAAACGACGAAGACGGCAAAGACGACGACTTTGGCGCTGGTCAAGTGTAATGGTTTTGTCATGATGCAGCATTTAAGCTGCCGCAGTGATTGATGCAGCAGCCACAACAACAGAAACTACAACAGCAACAACAACAAAAGTTGCACTAAAGACCTGCGTTGCTTTTTATTTAATGTTGTGGCTGCCTTTTGTCTGCGCGCTATCTAGCGGCCACACTGACAGCCCATAGCAATTTCACACCAGCTGCTTTGTGTATGGAAATTCTTAAGTCTCTGCAGTTGCGTTCAGACGTCGAAATGAATTTACGGAATCACAGCTATTCATGAAAGGCAACTAGTTGAAAAGCCAATAGATGATGCTCTGCTGGCCAAAATGGGAATAAAAGTTCAATGGGGTCACCGATTGGCAAACAAACAAAAGAAAGTGCCGTGCCTTCCTCAAGACTATAAACTAACACAAGCTATATAGTTTAACAAATTAAACGAAAGCTGTTAATTATTTAAAAATTAACAAGTGTTTAAAAAAACCGTGTTTTTTATTTTAAACTTCAATCCAAGAATTCTCACACAATTTGTATTTCACGTGTGAACTTAGTCTTGGTGGAAGCAGTTATAAAATAGGTCTAAGATAACATTTTTGCAAAAGCAACTTGAAGCCT